GCTTCAATCCCTTCAGTTTCTGGTGCTTGACGAATTAGAAAACCTAAAATCCCTTTTTGAAGAAGAAGCTCTGGCTCCATCAGCACTTTCTTTCCCTCTGAAAACTATCTCTATCGTGGATTGCCCGAAAATAAAAAAGTTGTTCTCGCCTAGGTTGCTGGTTTGGCACCTTCAGAATCTACAATCTATTCTAGTGTATGATTGTGAAGAATTGGAGGAAATAATAGCATCCGAGGGGTCCAAAGAAGAAGACGGTAAACTACCTCTCCCCAATCTGAAAATGCTCGACCTGGGAAACATGCCCAAATTGAAAAGCATCTGTGGCAGAACCAGAGTGTTGGTGTGTGATTCTCTTGAGGCTTTGGAAATTGCTAATTGTCCAATGCTGAAAAGAGTTCCTCTTTCACCTCCTCCTTCTCTAAAAGAAATCAAGGTATCTTCGAAAGAGTCATGGGAATCGTTGGAGTGGGAGCATCCCAATGCAAAGGATATCCTTTTGCCCTTAGTTGAATTTGATCGTTGGGATTGAAGAACTTCAAACTACTCGGTGATTCACCACAAACAAAGGTAAGCCTTTCATCTTTAAGTTTCCATTTAGGATTCAGTTCCAAACATTTTTATATTTACCCTTCCACTGTTTCTTTCTTTCTTAATAAATATCTTTGATTGAAAATGATTCCTTTTTCTTTCTTCCCTTCCAGACACCCTACTACATGTTGGCCAGAGCAATGAAATGAAGCAGGATGAATAAATTGCACCATTTTTTCCTTGATTTGGGACTTCGTTCGTTTTTTCCTTTGTTGTGATTTCAAATGTCAAATTCTAAATGCAATGTTTCCTGTGTGGCTTGCGTTTCATTCTGTGTGAATTATGTGGTAAAAATCGTTATGTTTCTTTGTGTGTAATTTTATAGTTATGCTTGTAATGAAGTTTACATTTTTTATTGAATGTACTGGAGTATTTGTTTGTTTCCTTTTCTGTAATAATGGGAATTAGTTCTTAAATTTCATTTTCTTCTTTTCTACCCTGCCAAATCCTTTTCTTCTTCATTTATACCCTATTAGTCTCATATTACCTTGGGGGTTTTATGATATATACCTGAAAAGATTAATAAATTTTGTGCTGTTTTTTTGCCAAAATTGTATAGCATAGTCTTTTTCCTTTTAATTCTACTTTCCCTCTTGCATATGATCAATGCCATTGTGTCTTAGCCTTCCTTGAGAATGGTGGGAATCATTCACTAAAGGGCCATTCAAACAAATATGATGTCCCTTAACCTTTTCCTAATTCAATAAGGATTGAACAACTACAAGCTGCTAGATGATTTGCCGCAAACAACAGTAAGCCTTTTACCTTAAGGTTTCTACTCAGGATTGAGTTTGATACTTTTTTATTTCAATGCTTTCCCTTTTGTTTCCTTTTATATAACATCCTTGCAAATGTTTCCTCTTTCTTTCTTCCATTTCAGATACATCGTAGTAAGTCAAGACATGTTTCCACAGCAAGGAAACTAGCAGGATGAAATCACACATTCTCTCTGAAGTTATTCCTTATCTTCTCACAAAATTTACTTTGCGTCTGCACTTTAAGTCTTTGTTCTTCTCAGAATTGTTGAAGACAGACTAGTGCTAGGAATATAAATGAACTTTAATAAATACTATGGGATTGTTAAAATTGGTGATTCTGCTTCTAGAGAATCTTGGCAATATCCTTTTCTCTCTCAACACACACAATGTGTAGAGTAATTCCTTGGTTAGAATAATAGATAAAGTCTTGCACAAATTGACTAGAAACTGGTTTTCTAATCTGTCTGCTATTAGAAATCATCAGCTTAATTTCATATAGGTTGGGAATTTTTTTTTTTTTTTTGATTTCTTTGAGAAATATTCAGATTTCTATAATCCCATTACTTGGTTTGGCTTGAAATTTTATTTCAGACAGAAGTTGTGGATAGCAATGAGTATGAGTGGTAGATTGATGCAAACAGAGACAATGTCTATTAATGGGATTGGTATCCACTACTGAGTTACTGCTCATGGACTAGGAGAAACTATGAAAGCATTGACGAGGTGGATGTCAAGCGTACCCCTGGATACATGAAGAGCATCTGTAATTGACTAGCTGTTCTAATCTATTGATTTGTGGTTGTTTGGAATCTCTGCAATTGAAATTCTAAGAGGAATTAAAGAGGGTTCCTCTGTATCTTAATTCCCCTGCTTAACAATAGCCAACCATACTATCTCCTCTTCCTTTTCTCAGTGATTTTGAGGTGTCTCCAAAAGAATGGTGGAATTGTTGGAGTTGGAGCGGGATTAACCCAAGACAAAGGGTTTCCTTCTACCCTTTTGTACTAAATATTCTGACACAATTGGCCACAAATAGTGTCAGACATTATCTCCAATTTTCCACTTAGAAATTGATTTGACAAGCTTTTTCTTTCTTCTTGCTTTTCCTGTCTTTTCTCATTTTCTTCCTTGTTTGATGCAGACATTTGCTCTTCTTTTTCCTTTTTCAGATGAAGGCTGCAAATTGTGACATATTTCTTGAGTGATGAAATAGACTGAGGAAATTGCATGTACACTTCAAAGGTTTGAACTTTGAGACTTGGTAATTTTGCTTTTTCCCTTTGTTGTGTTTTCAAATTAATATCAAATTCTTTTGGCTTCATTCCTGTTATCTATCATGAAAAAATCACTGAAGATGATAAGCTAGGAAATCTCAGAAGAATCCAATCAACTAGCAGACTTAAGTATCTCTTTACTTTTTCCATGCAATATTGTTTTCTATATCCTTCTCATACATTTACATTACTTTTTAACGGACACAAATACACAGTATTGTGTTCCTGAAATTTATTATCTTCATTTTAGATGTTTCCTTGAAGTGTGTTAAGCACATAGTGGTTTAAGTCCCTGATCTCACTAAAATATTTGTTTAGCTTTTCTTTTCTTGCCTCATGTTTTCGGTATGTCAAAATGACTGATGTTTCCTTTTCCTTTTTGAATGAATATTCGGTCGCATCCTAATTTCTTCAAAATATTTGGTTCTGTCTAACTTTGTCTCAAATCCTAGGAGCCAGAGAGCCGTAGGGATTGGATAGAAAGCATGTCAATTTTGCTTATATTATTCTCTACGTTGGCCTTATGAGGTAGCTTGTTTGGTCTTCAAAGCTTACCAAATCACCAACAATGAGATTGTTGATGCATGTGCCTCTGCATCTAGAAATTCTTGGTAATTCTTGTCTTTTTCTAATTCCATGGACCCATATTGATGTTCCTTTATTGGAATGATGAAACTTTGGTTTCTTTTTCTAATAGAAATTATCAGATTGTTTCCATGGAGACATGATGTTTGGTTTTATTTATTTTCTTTGGGAATTCATGGAATTCAATTTTTGTTTTTACCATGTGCGTCTATTTCTTCGTGAAAATTGACGTTAGACATATTGTGGACATGATGCCTAGAGAAAAGTTTCTAGACTAAAAGTTCTTTATTTATTTATTTTTTTTTTTCTGATTTTCCCTTAGAAATCAATTGAGCAAGATAAATTCATTAAATGCTGGTCAATGTATTAGATCTAAAAGTCATAAGCACATTCATTCAAGATCTAAAACTCCAAGCGCTTTCTTTATGCTTAAAATTTTACAGAAAAAAGAGAGTATTTTGAGTTAAATGTTTTTGTGAAATTTATCTTCTTAATGAACATGCTGGTAAACATCTTTCAACAGTCTCTTCCCAATTTTTTCTTTCTAGGATCTAATATTTACGTGTAGACATGCTACATTCATGCATCTGTGGGCTGGCTGGTGCCCGTGACTTTGTTTTCTTGGTGCTGTGCTACCAACCATGCGGATGATGAGAAGCAATTGGAGCACTACTTAAAGAAAATCCAAAGAGGTACTCGGTTGTTCTATCATTTTTTACTTTGAGAAAAATTCTTATCTCAAATAGCATTGTCCCATGCATCATATTTGCTTTCCTAATCTTATGCTTGGAATTTATACAGAATTTATACAGAGACAAGTTGTTGATAAAATTACCATCAAAGTGAAGGAATTGAATTAAACCAACTACTTGGAGGTTCGTGTAACATTGTGCGTTTGTTACCAGAAGTACCTTTGCAGAAGCAGCATAGGTAATCCTCACCAACCGTCTTGTGCATTGTTTGTTTGTTCTTGTTTTTGTTTTTTTTTTTTTTTTGTATTGGACAAGAAAATTCATAATGTAGCCTCAGGGTTTAAAATTGAGAAGGATCAATTAATTTTCTAATAGGTAACATGATTTTAATCGTATTCTCTTTTCGTTGCTTATCAACGGATAGAGAGCAACGCATAGCCAGTAGAGAGCAAATTTGCTCATGGCTCTCTGTCCACAATGTCCTAATTCATTAGGTTTTTGGAGAAAGAGAGTTTCTTCAAGCAATAGTGATATGGAATCAGGTCAACTTGAAAGGTGGTACCTATGAAAGCTGAAATCTTTTGGTTCCTTTCTGCCATGAAGCTTTAAATAGGGGAGCATTATGCACGGATGTGATCGCACCCATTCAATGTTCAAAGATATCGGAGGAATGCTTTCATCTTTTCTAGCCTATGGGACACAGTTATCACTTTGAGCTTATTTCCTGGGAGAGGTTGTTGGAAGCAGAACTACTTGCGCAGATGGAAGAGGTGAGACTGGTTTGAGGAAGGGCAGATATAGCTGGGTCTAGAGTGTCCAGAAATCAAGAAAGTACTTTACAACTGAATGCCATGAGTTGCTCTCTACCACTCGCCCTGTTCTGTTGAAGCATGGAAGATTACATTATATTTTTCTTCTATTTCAATGTTATTTTGCTATGTAATGTTATGGTTGTCCTCATTTGGACGAGATCTCTAACAATATAATCCTGAACACATGGCGCCATGTTTTGTGGCAAAGTTATCAAAGGAAATATCTTAAGTTGGAGTAGGTAGTAGGTACACCTTTCAATTGTAATGGTTGCTAATATATTACGCAACCTCTTTTCATTTTGAGTTTGTCAAGTTAATGAGAGGAAAGGGAAGGAGATTGTTCTGCTTCTCTACGCTTAATATCAACTTTCCAGGTAGACAAATTCTGGTGATAAATTTTCAAATATTTTTCAATGTTCACAAACTCTAGTGACTTAATTAAAAAATTTTCAAATATTTTATTTTTGTCCATAATTTTTAGATAAGTCAAAATATATTAATATAAAATACAAAAAATATTCTTACCCATACACATCCTACATAAAAGTTGTCTACTTTCATAAGAAACCTAATCTAACAAATACAGAAATTAAGCAATAAATCCAAAAACAGACTCGATTCTAGAGCCATCTAATGCAAAGTTTCCACCACTGAGAGAATGCAAATACACTTTCCTCCATCTTTTCACGGAGCAAAACGAAAGTCCTTCTTTGGATCAGGACATTTTTGTCCATATTCATAAATTATGATGGTTATCTCATATT